TGTTTGTGAACAATGCTGCCGAACCGTGGGGCGTACCTGGGGTTTCTCCCCCAGAGTCGTCGCATGGACTTACACGGCTATCATAAGACCTATGCTAACATACGGTGTAGTTGTTTGGGTACCGAAAACCCAAAAATTAACAGCTATCCGTAAACTAGAACAAATTCAAAGAACAGCATGTCTCAACATAACAGGAGCCATGAAAACAATACCGACCACAGCCATGGAAGTCATTCTTAGTTTCACTCCCCTTGATATTTACATCAAGGAGGTTGCTCTAACGACAATGACATGCCTCCACACGGTTGGAATAGAACCTGATGTAGGATCTGGTGAAGCAAGACGTCGCTTTTGACAGGAGGCTCTCAATACGCTTCCACTGCTTCAAGCGAACATGGACTCCATCTCACCGAGATACATCTTTCATAAGCCATATAAAGTTATAATAGAACAAATAGAAGAGCCAGAAGTGGCAGATACGATTCATATCTACACCGACGGTTCTAAAACAAAACAAGGCTTATGATGTGGAATATACTCCAGATTCTTAAACCTAAACATAAAATGGGCTGTGAGTAATAGTGCCAATGTAGTTCAAACAGAGCTAACGGGGATTCTCATAGCAGCAAAAAAATAACCAGAAACAATATCACTGGAAGGAACATGCTAATCTATACAGATAGCAGACAAGCACTACTCACCCTGAACAGACCACGAATTTATTCAGGGTTAGTACTAGAATGTCACAAAGCTCTTGCCGAAGTATCCATTAACAATGTGGTCACCTTAAGATATATCAAAGGTCACGCCACATCGAAAGGTAACCCTCTTGCTGATTCACTAGTCAAGAAAGCAGCCAACGAAATACTTTTTGGACGTGGCCCTTCTATTGGCCTGACAAAATCGGTAGTGACATACCTAATCAAAGAACATTCCCTTGTAAAATTCAAGAAAAGATGGGATAAACCAAGATACTGCAGAGTTGCCAGGGAGCTCCTAAGTTATCCTGACAACACTGCAACAAACAAATACTTGACTATGACTAGATAGAATATGCGCCTAGTCACAGGCATTCCGACTGGTCATTGCCAAGTACGGAAGCATCTCCATATCATGGGGATGTCAGAATTCGCACTCTGTAGAGGGTGCGAACAAGAAGATGAGACCATCAAGCATATCCTTTACGATTGCTCGATGCACAATGGGCCTAATGAGGCCTAAGTGCCGTGATGTAACCCTCCCTCCACACGTTACAGATACAGAGAGATAGAGTATTAATGTTAACTTTTCTTTTTTCTTTATTTTTCTAAATGGTTTTGAAAATTAGTTTCCATTTTTAGAGTTTATAGGCGTTTTTTTTGTTTTTCTCTTATTTTTTTTGTTTTTTGCAATTTTTGTTTTTTCTTGTTTCTTTTTCTATTTTTTTTTTTGTTTTTCTTTGGTTTTTATTTTTAACTGCAGATTCGAATTCAAATCTAGATAGTTGACAATTGGCTGTTACCAATCAGATTTTTGACAGAACAAGATTTTTAGAATATTAATGTTAACTTTTGTTTTTTCTTTATTTTTCAAAATGGTTTTGAAAATTAGTCTCCATTTTTAAAGTTTCTAAGCGATTTTTTTTGTTTTTTGTTTTCTTTTTGTTTTCTCTTAATTTTTTTTTGTTTTTCCAATTTTTGTTTTGTTTTCTTGTTTCTTTTTCTATTTTTTTGTTTTCCTATTTTTTTGTTTTTCTTTGGTGTTTATTTTTAACTCCATTCCAATTCAAATCTAGTTAGTTGACAATTGGCTGTTACCAATCAGATTTTTGACAGTACAAAATTTTTAGATTAATGTTAACTTTTGTTTTTTCTTTATTTTTCAAAATGCTTTTGAAAATTAGTTTCCATTTTTAGAGTTTCTAGGAGATTTTTTTTGTTTTTTGATTTCTTTTTATTTTTATCTTAATTTTTTTTTGTTTTTTCCAATTTTTGTTTTGTTTTCTTGTTTCTTTTTCTATTTTTTTTGTTTTTTCTTTGGTTTTATTTTTAACTCTAGATTTCAATTCAAATTTAGTTACCAAGTTGACAATTGGCTGTTACCAATCAGATTTTTGACAGTACAAGATTTTTAGAATATTAATGTTAACTTTTGTTTTTTCTTTATTTTTCAAAATGCTTTTGAAAATTAGTTTCCATTTTTAGAGTTTCTAGGAGATTTTTTTTGTTTTTTGATTTATTTTTATTTTTATCTTAATTTTTTTTTGTTTTTTCCAATTTTTGTTTTGTTTTCTTGTTTCTTTTTCTATTTTTTTTTTTTTTGTTTTTTCTTTGGTTTTATTTTTAACTCTAGATTTCAATTCAAATTTAGTTACCTAGTTGACAATTGGCTGTTACCAATCAGATTTTTGACAGTACAAGATTTTTAGAATATTAATGTTAACTTTTGTTTTTTCTTTATTTTTCAAAATGCTTTTGAAAATTAGTTTCCATTTTTAGAGTTTCTAGGAGATTTTTTTTGTTTTTTGATTTCTTTTTATTTTTCTCTTAATTTTTTTTTTGTTTTCCAATTTTTGTTTTGTTTTCTTGTTTCTTTTTCTATTTTTTTTTTGTTTTTCTTTGGTGTTTATTTTTAACTCCAGATTCCAATTCAAATCTAGTTAGTTGACAATTGGCTGTTACCAATCAGATTTTTGACAGTACAAAATTTTTAGATTAATGTTAACTTTTGTTTTTTTTTTCTATTTTTCAAAATTATTTTGAAAATTAGTCTCCATTTTTAGAGTTTCTAGGAGATTTTTTGTTTTTTTTTTTGTTTTTCTCTTAATTTTTTTTGTTTTTTCCAATTTTTGTTTTGTTTTCTGGTTTCTTTTTCTATTTTTTTTTGTTTTTTCTTTGGTTTTATTTTTAACTCCAGATTTCAATTCAAATTTTGTTAGTTGACAATTGGCTGTTACCAATCAGATTTTTGACAGTACAAGATTTTTAGAATATTAATGTTAACTTTTGTTTTTTCTTTATTTTTCAAAATGGTTTTGAAAATTAGTTTCCATTTTTAAAGTTTTAGGCGATTTTTTTGTGTTGTTCATTTTTGTTTTCTCTTGATTTTTCCAATATTTGTTTTCTTTTTTTTTTCTATTTGTTTTTGTTTTTTCTGTGGTTTTTATTTTTAACTCCAGATTCCAATTTAAATTTTGTTAGTTGACAATTGGCTGTTACCAATCAGATTTTTGACAGTACAAGATTTTTAGAATATTAATGTTAACTTTTGTTTTTTCGTTATTTTTCAAAATGGTTTTGAAAATTAATCTCCATTTTTAGACTTTCTACGAGATTTTTTTTGTTTTTCTCTTAATTTTTTTTTGTTTTTTCCAATTTTTGTTTTGTTTTCTTGTTTATTTTTCTATTTTTTTTTTGTTTTTTCTTTGGTTTTATTTTTAACTCCAGATTCCAATTCAAATCTAGTTAGTTGACAATTGGCTGTTACCAATCAGATTTTTGACAGGACAAAATTTTTGGAATATTAATGTTAACTTTTGCTTTTTGTTTATTTTTCAAAATGGTTTTGAAAATTAGTTTTCATTTTTATAGTTTTAGATTTTTTTTGTTTTTTGTTTTCTTTTTGTTTCTCTCTTAATTTTTTTTGTTTTTTCCAATTTTTGTTTTGTTTTCTTGTTTCTTTTTCTATTTTTTTGTTTTTCTTTGGTTTTTATTTTTAACTGCAGATTCCAATTCAAATCTAGTTAGTTGACAATTGGCTGTTACCAATCAGATTTTTGACAGTACAAGATTTTTAGAATATTGATGTTAACTTTTGTTTTTCCTTTATTTTTCAAAATGGTTTTGGAAATTAGCTTCCATTTTTAAAGTTTCTAGGCGATTTTTTGTTTTTTGTTTTGTTCTTTTTTGTTTTTACTTAATTTTTTCCAATTTTTGTTTTGTTTTCCTTTTTTTTCTATTTTTTGTTTGTTTTTCATTTGGTTTTTATTTTTAACTCCAGATTCCAATTCAAATCTAGTTAGTTGACAATTGGCTGTTACCAATCATATTTTTGACATTAGAAGATTTTTAAAATATTAATGTTAACTTTTGTTTTTTCTTTATTTTTCAAAATGGTTTGAAAATTAGTTTCCATTTTTAGAGTTTCTAGACGATTTTTTTTATTTTCTTTTTGTTTTTCTATTATTTTTTTTTGTTTTTTCCAATTTTTGTTTTGTTTTCTTGTTTCTTTTTCTATTTTTTTGTTTTTCTTTGGTTTTTATTTTTAACTCCAGATTCCAATTCAAATCTAGTTAGCTGACAATTGGCTGTTACCAAGCAGTTTTTTAACACTGATCTGGAGACACATTACAGGGTATAGAGGTAGGTGTTGCCGGCTCGTTATTTAGTCACTGTAGATGTAGAGGGATATTGCTACTATCATTTACGGGTCTATTAGTCATATATTGTAATTTGACAAAGTTTTCGGAAAATTTTTGGTGTAAATATATTTTTAGAGTTTCAAGGCGATTTTTTCTTTTGTTTTTTCTTGTTTTCTTTTCTGTTTACTATTTTTTTGTTTTTATTTTAAATCCAAATTCCAATTCAAATTTAGTTAGTTGACAATTGGCTGTTACCAATCAGATTTTTGACGGTTTCTTGGTTTTCAAAATTAGTTCCCATTTTTAGAGTTTCTAGGTGATTTTATTGTTTTTTCTTGTTTTGTTTTTTTTTACTGTTTTTTTTTTTGTATTTTCTATTCTTTGTTTTATCTATTCTTTGTTTTTTTTTTCTTGTTTTTTTTAACTCCAGATTCTAATTCAAATCTAGTTTGAAAATTAGTTTCGATTTTTAAAGTTTCTAGGCGATTCTTTTTGTTTGTTTTTCTCTTAATTTTTTTCCAATTTTTGTTTTTTTTGTATTTCTTTGGTTTTTATTTTTAACTCCAGATTCCAATTCAAATCTAGTTAGCTGACAATTGGCTGTTACCAAGCAGTTTTTTAACAATACAAGATTTTTAGAATATTAATGTTAACTTTTGTGTTTTTCTTTATTTTTCAAAATGGTTGGAGGTATAGACCAGTATAGTAGGTAATTTTTACTATCATTTACGGATCTTTTGCAGTCATGTATTGTAATTCCAATTTTTGGATGTAGGCCAAGTTTTCGGAAAAATATATCACTGTGGGTTATCTATAGTGCACATGTCTACAAATGCGTCTGTGATAAAACCAATTTTTGTACACGACATAAATCAAAAACAAGGTAAATTGTTCGTATATATTGTATTGGCCTTTTAGGTATCCTGCGAAGGTATGTAGTCAGTGGGAAGTTTTTTCAATAAAATAAAAAATAACACTTAACCTTATATTTATTTGTAAAGAAAAAAAGCAACTACGATAACTGCGCTACATTTTTTACTACTAGACTTTTGGGCCCTCTAGAATCATAATCTACCAAACCAGGATGTTCTTCGCACAAAACTTGGTAAGCATAAAAAATTCTAACAAACTCTTGGTTACTAATTTGGAACGGCCTTATGGTGGGATCTAAATCGGCTAATTTCAGTAATTTTGAAGCTAAAACAAATAGTAAATAATAATAAACAAATCAAAAATTAATTCCAAATTTTTTGGTGTAAATATATTTTTGTAAATAGTATAAAACTAGGCAAAAATATCCTACCTAAGAATAAAGGTTATGATTTGTATCACTGTCTTGGAGAACCCCGTATAAATGAAAATATTTTTAAATTGTTGCCGTTTCTGATACATATTTCGCTGTGAAAACAAATTTAAAAAAAATCACAAATAGTTTTAGCTCTACAGACCGAGGCGTTACCGCTGGACTACCCTGTATAATCAAGGACGTACAAGATTTCAAGATTTTTAAAATAATAATGTTAACTTTTGTTTTTTTTTGTTATTTTTCAAAATGGATTTTAAAACTAAAGTTTCCATTTTTACAGTTTCTAGGCGATTTTTTTTTTGTTTTTTGATGTTTGTTTTTTTGTTCTTTCTTTTTGATGTCTGTTTTTTTTTGTTGTTAGTTTTTTGTTTTCTTTCTTTTTTTGTTTGTTTTTTTTGCTTTTTTTATTTCAGATTCCAATTCAAATCTAGTTAGTTGACAACTGGCTGTGATCAATCAGATTTTTGACATTATTCGATATTAATGTTAACTTTTGTTTTTCTTTATTTTTCCAAATGGTTTTGAAAACTAGAATTTCTATTTTTAGCGTTTCTGGACGATTTTTTTTTGTTTTTTGTTTTCTCGATGTTTTTTGTTTTGCTTTTTTTTAATTTTTTTTAATTTTTGTTTTTTTTTTCTTTTTTTTATTTTTTGTTCTTTTGTTTTCTTTGTTTTTATTTTCGTTTTGTTTGTTTTTTCTTTGGTTTTTTTACTCCTGATTCCAATTCAAATCTAATTAGTTAACAATTGTCTGTGACCAATCAGATTTTTAGAATATTAATGTTACCTTTTATGTTTTTACCTTATTTTTCAAAATGGGATTGAAAACTAGTTTTTGTTTGTTTTCGTTTGTTTTTGTTTATTTGTTTTTGTTTATTTGTTTTTGTTCATTTGTTTTTGTTCATTTGTTTTTGTTCATTTGTTTTTGTTCATTGGTTTTTGTTCATTTGTTTTTGTTCATTTGTTTTTGTTCATTTGTTTTTGTTTATTTGTTTTTGTTTATTTGTTTTTGTTTATTTGTTTTTGTTTATTTGTTTTTGTTTATTTGTTTTTGTTTATTTGTTTTTGTTTATTTGTTTTTGTTTATTTGTTTTTGTTTATTTGTTTTTATTTATTTGTTTTTGTTTATTTGTTTTTGTTTATTTGTTTTTGTTTATTTGTTTTTGTTTATTTGTTTTTGTTTATTTGTTTTTGTTTATTTGTTTTTGTTTATTTGTTTTTGTTTATTTGTTTTTGTTTATTTGTTTTTGTTTATTTGTTTTTGTTTGTTTGTTTTTGTTTGTTTGTTTTTGTTTGTTTGTTTTTGTTTATTTGTTTTTGTTTATTTGTTTTTGTTTATTTGTTTTTGTTATTTGTTTTTGTTTATTTGTTTTTGTTTATTTGTTTTTGTTTGTTTTTGTTTGTTTTTGTTTATTTTTGTTTATTTTTGTTTATTTTTGTTTATTTTTGGTTGTTGTTGTTTGTTTTTGTTTTCGTTTGTTTTCGTTTGTTTTCGTTTGTTTTCGTTTGTTTTCGTTTGTTTTCGTTTGTTTTCGTTTGTTTTCGTTTGTTTTCGTTTGTTTTCGTTTGTTTTCGTTTGTTTTCGTTTGTTTTCGTTTGTTTTCGTTTGTTTTCGTTTGTTTTCGTTTGTTTTCGTTTGTTTTCGTTTGTTTTCGTTTGTTTTCGTTTGTTTTCGTTTGTTTTCGTTTGTTTTCGTTTGTTTTCGTTTGTTTTCGTTTGTTTTCGTTTGTTTTCGTTTGTTTTCGTTTGCTTTTATTTGTTTTTATTAGTTTTTGTTTTTTTTTTGTTTGTTTGTTTTTGTTTGTTTTTGTTTTTTTTTGTTTGTTTTTGTTTGTATTTGTTTGTTTTTGTTTGTTTTTGTTTGTTTTTGTTTGTTTTTGTTTGTTTTTGTTTGTTTTTGTTTGTTTTTGTTTGTTTTTGTTTGTTTTCGTTTGTTTTCGTTTGTTTTCGTTTGTTTTCGTTTGTTTTTATTTGTTTTTGTTTGTTTGTTTTGTTTTGTTTGTTTTTGTTTGTTTTTGTTTTTGTTTGTTTTTGTTTGTTTTTGTTTGTTTTTGTTTGTTTTTGTTTGTTTTTGTTTGTTTTTGTTTGTTTTTGTTTGTTTTTGTTTGTTTTTGTTTGTTTTTGTTTGTTTTTGTTTGTTTTTGTTTGTTTTTGTTTGTTTTTGTTTGTTTTTGTTTGTTTTTGTTTGTTTTTGTTTGTTTTTGTTTGTTTTTGTTTGTTTTTGTTTGTTTTTGTTTGTTTTTGTTTGTTTTTGTTTGTTTTTGTTTGTTTTTGTTTGTTTTTGTTTGTTTTTGTTTGTTTTTGTTTGTTTTTGTTTGTTTTTGTTTGTTTTTGTTTGTTTTTGTTTGTTTTTGTTTGTTTTTGTTTGTTTTTGTTTGTTTTTATTTGTTTAAAATATTAATGTTAACTTTTGTTTTTTGTTTATTATTCAAAATGGTTTTGAAAACTAGTTCCCATTTTTAAAGTTTCTGGGCGATTTTCTTTTTCTCCTTTTTACTTTCCTATCTGTATACAGATATAAGGAAAGTATAGGAACCATGATTTTTTTCGACCTCGAGTTTTTGACGGATTTTTACGTTTTGAGGTCCCCTGAATCCATTTTGACTATTTTCGCGATGATGTCTGTGTGTCGCATAACTCATGAACCGATACATAGAAAAACACCAAATTTTAAACTTAAGCTTTGTTCCAGCGTCCAATGTGCTGATTAGATTTTGGGCAGTGTCGGAACATCTGGGGGGTACTTTATAGGTGGTCATTTTTATATTTTATGGAATATATCTGTTATTTACGTTTGGGGAAGAAAATTCTTCAAATAAAAGTTACTTCTTATATTATTATCTATAATTTTTGTTCTTTACAAAATTTTCCTAAAATGGTCCGTATTCGAGAAATTTGACAAAATGTAAAAAATATTTTTTTATAAAAATTGTTCAAACAAAAGTTGTTTGTAATATAATTTTCTATAATTTTTATCCTATACATAATTTCTCTAAAATGGACCGTATTCGAGATATTTGAGAAAATGTGTAAATTTAGAAATTTGAAGAAAACTCAAAAACGGAAAAAGAAAAAACCATTAAATGTTAAACTTAAGTTTTATTTCGGCCTGACGTGAAATGATTATATTTTGGACAAAGTCGGAACATCTGGGGGGTACTTTATGGGGGGGCGTTTTTATATTTTATGGAATATATATGTTATTTATGTTTGGAGAAAAAAATTGTTCAAATAAAAGTTATTTCTAATATTATTGTCTATAATTTTTGCTATATGTCAAAATTTCCTGAAATGGTCCGTATTCGAGAAATTTGACAAAATGTGCAAAATTATGATTTTTATGAAAATTGTTGAAATAAAAATTGTTAACGATATCGATCTCTATAATTTTTGTTTATACATGATTTTTCTAAAATGGACCGTAGTGGAAAAATTGTAGGAAAAGTGCTAAATTTAAATTTTTCAGTATTTTCATTTTCAATGAATAGGTATCTATAGAAAAATGTTTCGAGGTAGATGTTTGTGGAAAATGTATATATTTATTTTATCCTCTAAACATTTATGGAGGTGCTGCAATAGGTTGTACAAAATAACCGGAAAAAGCCTGTAATAACTAGATAGGAAAGTCATGTGTTGGACACATCAGATTTTTTGTTTTGTTTTTGTTTATTTTTGTTTGTTTTTTTGTTATTGTTTTTTTGTTATTTTTTTTTTGTTTCTTTTTGTTTTTTCATTGGTTTTTTGTTTTTTTTTTTTTTTAAACTCCAGATTCTAATTCAAATCTAGTTAATTGACAATTGGCTGTGACCAATCAGATTTTTGACATTATTTGATATTAAAGTTAACTTTTGTTTTTCTTTATTTTTCCACTTTGTTTATCAATAATAATTATAACCGAACATTCTCCAATAAATAATAGAAATATAATTTAGTAGCCTTACCTAATTCAGTACGATTTTCTTCTGGGAATAACCTTTCAATCCCACGTACGCAGTATTTTTGCCTCATATTAAATACATTCCTAAGAACCTTCTCGACCAATTTGAAAGGTAGTTTAACCATTGGATATTTTAGAGGCACTAATGTTACCACTGCGACATCTACATCTGGTTTGGGTACAAATGCTCTACCTGGTATGGTAAATTTGTATTGAACATCACACCACATTTGACATATGACAGATAAACGACATCTCTGCTTATCCTTTATCGAAGCTACCATTCTTTCTCCTACTTCTTTTTGAAATGTAAGAGTCATAGACGATCTTCCAAAACTCCAGGCTGATGTTTTCTCTGACACTGATTGTAAATACCTGATTATTAGATTTGTAGATACACTGAATGGCAAATTACCTAAAATATGTTCATATTCTGGTGAAGGAAGGTCGAAATAAATTTTAATGGAAAAACAAAGTAACAGTGATTGAGACGATTTATAATATTTTTTAATGTATGATTGATTTTTGTGGAGTATGGAATTATCCTTTATGTTTTAAAAGGGAAGTTGGTATGAAAGTAAAAGCTTACACATTGTCGGTAGTCAAAGCCTGTCATCCCTATTGATTAGGCGATTAGTATTGAAAAATTGAAAAAGATAAAAAAAATACCTGGGAGTAGTAATAGACTATGTTGTTTTTTAAAGATCATGTAACCTATATAATTAACAGTACCATTTAAAATCAACTACTTGTAATGGTGCTCAAAATATCTTAATTAATTAATGAATTTTGCCTCATTTCACATATTGTAGCATCACCCAAGTAACATTTTTAGGAGAAACAAGTTGTATTTGTTTTGTTGGAATTTTGTAAAAGCATAAAAATTAATAATTATTTTATTACAGTTATTTTTTTGCTAATAGGACTGCAGGATGAACTGATCTTATTACTTGGCTTATCAACTGGTGGTGGAGTCTTATTGGCTTTTAAAAATAACATCTCGTGTGTTAAAATTGATACAACTTTCTTTGATCAAAATTTTGTAAATATTGATTTAATAGTTTGCAAATGTCTACTCGCACATACTTCGTTTATGTCAATTTTGGTATATGTTCCCCCCTTCCCCCCTCTGTTTCACTAGATATGTTCGAGTCATTTTTTGAATGTCTAGAAGGGCTTGAAATGTTGCATAATGGAAAAAATTAATTATAGGTGATTTTAATGTTTCCAAGTACGTCAACCATAATATTCATGATAGAAGATACAGTTTTATTGACAATTTTGTAAAGTTTTATGATTTAGTCCAATTTAATAAAGTTAAAAATGAAACGGGTCGATTGTTGGATCTCGTTTTTTCTAACATGAATTGTGATGTAACTCGTAATGTATCTTCTATGGTCAGTGAAGATTCATATCATCCTTCTTTATATATTCAAGTTAATAATCTTTTTAATGTTCCCAATGTATTTGAACCGAATTCAAAACGAAAAGCATATAACTTCAACCGTGCCAATTATCCGTTACTATATGAAGCTCTCATGAATATTAACTGGAATTATTGATTGATATACAAAGACGTAAACGATGCTTTACATCAGTTTTATATCACCTTGTACTCAATTTTTGACCAATTTGTTCCTACTTACAAGAATTACAAGCGTAAATTCCGTCCATGGTTCGATTCCGTCATTATAAGAAATATTAAGAATAAGGAAAAATATCTTAAAAAATATAAAAGAACGATAGACGTTTCTTAGCACATTTTAAACTAATCCGATCGCAAGTCAAACAGCAAATAAAGTATGCTCATCAATCTTACATTAATAAAGTCCAGGTTAGTATAACAACTGATTCTCGCTTGTTCTGGTCATATATTAATTCAAAAAATAAAATTTCACGCATTCCAGGCACTATGGTGCTTAAAAACGAATCATTTACGAATCCTCAAGATACAGTTGATAAGTTTAGTCAATTCTTTGAAAGTGTTTTTGTAACATCATCTGGGCCACAGCAGAACAGGGCTAGTTTATTTGAATCACAATTCTACGGTGATATCATTAAAATTGGCAATATCACCGATTCAGACATCGTACAAGCCAGTAAAAAATTAAGTAAAAAATGACCTCTGGCTCTGATGACATCCCCTCATTTTTTGTTAAAGACTGTATTTATATACTAGCCTCTCCATTGAACATAATATTTAATTTAGCATTAAAATCAGAGAGCTTCCCAGAGCGGTGGAAAGAGGCAAGAAGTATTCCTGTTTTTAAATCAGGTGATAAGACACAAATCAAAAACTATCGGCCTGTATCTATTCTGTCAAATCTATCGAAAATCTTTGAGATTGTCATTTATAATCACATATATTCTTCAGTCCGCAACCTAATATCGCCTTTGCAGCATGGTTTCTTAAACAAAAAGTCTACAGAAAGCAATTTACTTGTAATAACTCAGCACTTATCTGAAGCGGTTGATGCAGATAGGCCAGTGGACGTTATTTACACTGATTTCTCAAAGGCTTTTGACAGAATGGATCATGGGATATTGATTGATAAATTAAACCAATTTGGCTTTTCTCAGACCTTGATAAGGTTCTGTAAGTCAGACCTTTGAACTATAATGATTAGAAAATAAAAAAATAATTTTCTCTCTCGGTGATTAATATAAAAAAAAAAAATAAACGGCGGTGATCTGTATCACTCTGCACTCATGAAAGGAAAATAACTGTTGCACTTGTAAGAATATCGGTTAATATCCTCCCCGCACTTATTACTTTACACCAGGCACAATAGCTCCAAATAACAAATGGATTGAAGACGGGACCGTTCGACCAATACTTTAGGGAACAGTGACGGTTTTTTTTTTTTTTAATATTCGGTTTAAAGTCTCTCTTATGTAGACATCTAGTCCATAGCTTCTGTAAGAGAGAAACCCTTTCCACGAGCTGTTATAAAGACTAGGGGCTGAAACGGCTGATTATCGACGGGGGGGAACAAGCGAATACCGCTATCACCCCCTGGTTAACGCGAAAATGGATGAAGGGTGCGAGTGCCCCAGGATTTAAATCCAATTTACTTTATTACCCTGACAGGTACTAAGTGAACTAAAAGTACAGGTCGAATTCCTTAAGTAGACAATGGAAACGGAAAATGAACGTTGCAGGGAGAATTATTGGACGGAATTTTAAAGTGCCTACCTTGATAAAGTCCTCACAACGGTTTTCGGTGCACGAAATTTAAATTGCGAAAAATCAGTCTGGAACGGCAAAACTACTCTGAAGCACAGTATAACTTAAATCGGTGTAGATCTCACAGTCACAAAAGCCGGGATGGAAGAGTGCTTCCATCGAAAACGTCTGCTTTTATCAAAAGTCAAACTTTTGCCAGAGTGGGGACGCTAGTTCCTACTCCTTTGTTATTAGTTGTTTTGCAAAAAACGTTGGTTGATCGGCATACTGATAAACCTACCAGAATTGAGGTTTTAAGACATGATTTAATTTATGGTGATAATGAAGTTTTAAACTACGAGGACTCTTGCAAAGGTTTAAAAACGGTAATTCTATGGAAATATTAGTTACAGGAGGTCTCGCAAATGTTCATAGTTTTAGAAATTAATTTAGGGAATAAATTAATGGAAATTTTAATGACTTCGTCACAATGCATTAAAGTGTAAAGTGATGGCATACAATAGAAAAAGATCAACTATAGATTTTTATTATAATATTAACGGTTTGGTATTGACACGTTGTTCCTCAATCACTGATCTGGGTGTCACTTTCGACTCAAGGCTGAGTTTTGTTGAGCACATTATTATGAAGGTTTCTGACGCAAAAAAATGTATGGTTTTGTTATATACGAAACTTTCGTGGGTACAAGGACATTGGAGCATTAAAGACTTTATATCCGCACTAAGCTTGAGTACTGTTCAGCTATCTGGTATCCTTATTATAATGTTCATATAACTAGTGTTGAATCTGTTCAAAGGAAGTTTTTGAAATACTTATCATTCAAAGTAAATGATGTCTACCCGCCAAGAGGAATTGATTATCAGCTACTTTTGGACAGTTTTAACATGGAAAGTCTGGCGTTTCGGAGAATTCTAGCTTCATTGACTTGTTTACATAAAATCATGAATGGGTTAATTGACTGTCCTGCTATCTTGGCTAAAATTCATTTAAACGTTCCATAGTATAATAACAGACATCACTTAACTTTTAACTGTAATAGATCTAGAACACATATTATATTAAGCTCACCTCTCAATGTCATGTGTAATAACTTTAACCTGTACTGTAATTCTTGGGATATCTTCAATGATAGTTTGATATTAAGTATTAATGCAATTGCTTGTAACTATTATGACAATGCTTGAGTTTTTTATTTTATTCTATTTTTTTTTTTATTTTTATTGACCTTTTATTTTCAGTTTTTATACGATATTTTTTATTTTATAATTCTTTATTTATCATGTCACTTTTACTACTTATATTGTTAATAATTTATTAGGTTACTCTGTAAAGGGATTTATATCTGTTGTGAAATAAAGGCTATTATTATTATTATTTTAGGTACATTTTCTACAATTTTACAACATAACTCTTATAATTTATTTAATCTTGTAAACGATAGGGCTCTTTTAAAACTACATAGTTTTAATAAGAACTAACGTTTATTTTAGAGCATAGCATAGCTTTTCAACCCAATCACATTCAGGGCCGACTAGAGGGGGGACAGCCGGGACCAATTCCCGGGGCCCAGGATCAAATGGGGGCCCGGTAGCGGTATAAGGGGGGCCCGGTAGCGGTATAAGGGGGACCCGGCAGCGGTGGTGTTACTTTCAGAAGTTCGGCAGAAGAGGGAGGAAGTTCTTAATTGAAGATCTTTTTTTTAAGTAGAGGAGGAGGAAATTTTTGCTTGAAGACCTTTTCTTATTTAATTTTTTATAAAATTGTCGCGAGGCCCGATTTTGAGAATTGTCCTGGGGCCCGGTTTGGCTCTCGGCGGCCCTGATCACATTATGTTGACGTTGAAAGATAAATTGTTCAAAATAAAGAAAAGTAATATCCATAGAGAATAAAAAAAAATGTATATGTTTCTCCATCTCCTCAGTGTTTAATAAGTTCATTGTGTTCCATTGTTTAACAAATATCAAAACATTCCTAGGCTCCTAATATTCTGGAAATGATCAGTGAAAGAGAAAAATGGTTAATATATTATTACTAATTTTTTTATTTTGAATGAGTTGTTCGCAGAGTAAATAAGAAGCTCAAGAGTGAGGTTAGATTGAACTGATTGAACTAATGAATCTTTTATTGATGTTTTCGTTTTTATTATTGTTTTATGAAGCGCTTTAAAAAGTTTAGCAGGAGCATTTTAAAACTGGAAAGTACAAAAAAGTATTTTTTTTTGTTTATTAGTTTTATAAGCTAATGTCCGTATGTAGGTTCAGGTAGAACACAATGAGAAATCCTCAATTTTAAATCTGGCAGTGGCTGTTTAACCACATATCATGTAAAATAGTACCTGTCTACTAGACCAGTACCTAAAGGATATTCAAATAAATTATGGTCAAAGTTCAAATAATTCTAAAATCTTTCGATTTTAGTAATGACGTATTTTGTGTACCAAAAACAGTGATAATATGTCAATGACAACAGTGTGCCAATGACAACAGTGTGCCAATGACAACATTGTGTTAATGACAGTAGATGTATTATTTATGATTACGTTTACTGCGTTTAACCATATAATGTCAAATTTGTCAAATATATTTACAACTAACTCCTTTTAGGGTATATAAATGTAATTTATATTGAAATATACTTATAATGTTATACAACACTTGCCTTGCCTAAAGTAATTTATGATTAAACACAAAGTTTGTTTCTGATAGTCCAGTAGGTAGTATGCCCAATTGAAAATGGTTTTCTGATGATGACAAGTATCCATGCAAAGACTAATCTACAATAGGATTTATATTGGCGGTTAAATAGTCACTTCCATGAAATAATTTGAAAAATAAAAAATGTGATATTTTATATGAAAAACATATCGAAGACAAATGTAATCATTTTATAGTGCTATATATATACGATATTTACAATGTTATTTTCTATTAAATAACTCTCTGTAAATAGATTAGAACCCATAATAATCATGTTTTTACGTATATTTCATATATAGTAAGGTCCATCATTTATTACGACCCACCTTGCCCACTTTTAACAGTACTTTGGTGTGTGTTTGAAAATTGAAGAAATAACAAGTGTAACTAAACAAATTAAGCACACACTATATAATAATTAATTTCTAATATAGCAGTCTTTCCAACGTGTTTGCAAAATCATTCTGTCAGAGAGTATGATAAAACAGAATAAAGCTAAAACAGTTTAAAATTTAATTCTCTTAAAACTGATTAGTTTTGTAAAGTTTTTATGCCTATCCCACTTATTATCATAATCTTAAAAAAGATTTTAAAATGGTTTAATAGAATTCTTAATATACTCTTACCGAGACTCTTACAGACTTTAATTTAGGTCTAATTAGTTTTAAGATATTGTTTTGAAAATACTCCTAAGAACTGATATAGGATCTTGTAGACTCAAAAGTTTTATCAGCCTCTTAAAAAAGAGTTTTATGGTTACCTTGTATACCTACTCTGATAAATCTAAAAATGTTACTTGGGCATTATGTATTTATTAATCAGAATGACACCACAGACTTCATAAATTACAAAATAGATTAATATCATATTATAATGTGATAAAAAGACAAATATATTATGAGTTACAAAATTTACAATAACTTTCTGTTAAAAAGTATTTTCTCTACTTAATTTAACATTCATTTATAAAATTAAACCGACTGGATGTGCTTGATAAAATTAGTTACAACTTTGAGTATCATAACTATAATACAAGAAATAGATCTAATTTTCATATTCCACAAGTTGCAAGTAACTAGTGCCAATGCCAAAATTCAGTATTTTTTAAGGGACTTTAAGCTTTTAATGTGTTACCCATACAACTCAGAAATGTCGCCTCATTTAATACCTTTAAATATAAATTAAGAGATTAAAAGTAATTGATATTTTAGTGTTTAAAGTGTTATATTTTATGTTTTATATTTTAGATATATATTTTTTTGTAATTTTATTTAATTGTAATATGCTATTAGCTTTGCTAAATAAAGGAGAAATATATAATAACTTTTGACATATATGAAAACCTTGAAAACCTACATATATATTTTTCCAATTCTAGCAATAAAGAGGTTTTTTTATTATTTTCACAAAATTATGTAAAATTCCCATAATAAACCATGTATTTTTAACATCAGCGATGAATTGTAAAAGCTCAATTAGCATTGTTTTTTTTTAGACCCTATTTCAGGTATGCCAATTTGCCTCCTCTCTAGTGTTCATAACAATGATGATTGTCGGAATGAGTTGGAGCAGCAATGATGTGAACATAGGCTTTAGTAGTACTCTAAACTACAATACTACCTACCTGAATGTGAACCCCTAAACTATTTAAACTACGCACCACATCTAAACAAACATAAATAATAAAGGAACCAAATATCAAAATGTTTTACCTATAAGATGAACTGGTGATGGAGCATCCAACCAATCATGTTTAGGGGCCCCTTTAAAACTTGTTTCTAAATCAGAATTTCTAATATCTCCAATTTCTATTTTCATCTCGGTGTAATCTTTGCAACATTCTTTTAACAACTCTAATGTAGGGATAAATCTTGGATCTTTTTCTACTACAAGTAGTTTATGAGGACGACGTTTAATAATTGATCTGGTTATTCCGCCTGGGCCTGGGCCAATTTCACAAACGTAATGATTTGTTATATTTCCTGCAGCTTTAACAATCCTATCAGTGATTCTTTCATCCATCAAAAAGTTTTGAGACAATTGGCGTATGGCTCTCAAGCGGTATAATTTAACTAAATCTCTAATAGTAGGTAAAGGGGGTAAACGAATAAGTTTTGCTGAACTTGCCATTATTGAGCCTGAGACGTTTTAGCGGGTTCTTCAAAATCGTCTAGGAAGGTCTCTTGTTTAACTGCAAGCATAGAATATCCGTAAATACTAAATATTCCAGCAGTTAACAGTCCTGCAGTAAGTAAATTTCTTCTTCGTAGGAATTTCAATTTCTGTACTCGTTCCTGATTTTTCCTTTCTATTTCCCTAATAAAATCCAAGTCACTTTTTTTTATCTTATCGAAATCAATTTTTGGCATGCGGTCAGACATTTCACCGAACTGCGACACTTTGTGGTCATACAATATTTTCAAAAATCTTCCTCTGCGGCGAACACTCTCATGTAATGTTTTGAACTTCTAACCTCAATTTTTATTTTGAATGACATATGTCATCAAACGTCATCTATTTTTAGCAGTTTTTTAGCGGCGGGTTTGGATATTCAACTTTTTAGGACATTATTTTTTTGTCATCGTGATTACATTCGACTTCATGCTGCGTTTGAGAATCCACATCGGATGCATCTGAGATGTAAAAAATCTTTGATCACGTGGTTCAGTATACGTAAATGTAATGGGACAGATGTGTCCGATGTGGATAAAAAAACGCTCGAGATGTAAAAAATGCATCCGATGTGGATTCTCAAACGCAGCATATATTGATCAAGAAGAAAATCCTATTATATGCCGCGTTTGAGAATCCACATCGGATGTATTTTTTATATCTCGAGCGTTTTTTTATCCACATCGGACACATCTATCCCTTTACATTTACGTAAGTATACTGAATCACGTTATCAAAGATTTACTACATCTCAGATGCATCCGATGTGGATTCTCAAACGCGGCAAAAATATAGGTAATATTTTTCGTTTTATTCCATGAAAGATACTTTCACTGTAAACTTACTGAAGTTATAGGCTAAACTATACGTGACAAGTGCGAAAAACGACTTTCATTTTTCTAAAATAAATTCTGTAAACAAAAAAGTTATGCGGTATTTGAGATAAGTTTACAGTTTATGGCTACGTCAATGAAAAGTTGTGACAGTATTTGGTTCTCTAATTAAATCAAACTCTTTAAATAGGACTTTGTCTCGTTCTAAGGGGGTCTATTTTGTAACAATATTCCTTTATATTTAACGGCCTTTAAAAATATTGGCGGACTTTATTAAAAATAGTTTCGTATTCTTTAATTTACTGCTTCTATCATTATTTAAACAGATTTCTTTAAGATAGTCCTCTAATGTATTTTAAAGATCCGTTTAAATAATGACAGAAGTAAAAGAGAAAATATTTTTAAAGGCCATTAAATATAAAGGAATTGTTACAGAATAGACCCCTAAGCCTGGGCCACAATGTCACGGGACCTAATCTAACTTACACAGCTCTGCGATGTCAAGTCACAGAATAAGATTATTCTCATATTCTGTGGTCTAGTGGCACTACAAAGCATGCGCATTAAAGAGTTTTTTAAGAAAATATAACTAAAATTACACATACATTATTGGTTGTCTTAGGGTCGATTCTACCAATGTGTTAAACGGAGATTAAAATGACATTGTTAATCTAAAAATGTCATTTTAAACTTCGTTTAACACAACGCTGGAATCGGCCCTAAATCAAACATCAGGACTGGATCGACGCACTGCATGCATGCTTTTTTATTACATTTTCTTATCTTAAACTTGCTTACTCTAAAGTCAATTTAAATGGATCTCTATCGAAGCTATTCTGTGATAAAGCTATGCTGTTTTATTGTGTCAATCATAAATCAAAGAGTATTGTTCTAAAAATGTCTAGTTTACGGAATCGAAGACAAAGCGCTGATAAAATCCTATTCCTAATCATTCTATATCTTCTCCCATTAAATGTAAAGGAGTAAGTTTTAATGGCGTAGTATCTTGTCTAAAAACGACTCAATTCGCATTCTCACAAACGAGGAGCATGTTTGTGCCAAAAGTGGATTATTATTGACGATATACTGGTTGCATATATATGGGTCACATCATCAATGGTATATAAAATATATAACCAATTACACTTATAAATGCAATAATAAATATTATTTATTTTATATTAAACGATTAAAAGCCCAAATTGATAATAAGTTAATATTCTTTATTTTTATGAAGTATAATAATAGTAGTTGAATCGCTAAAAATCGGCTAAGATTGTGAAAACCGACTAATGTCAAAAAAATTAAAGTTGGTTATGTTGCGCTCATGTTGACATTGTAGATGGTTTATTTTAGGTTCTAAAATATTTTAATATTTTTCATAATAATGGCAGAAGATGACCTTTCATCTAATCCCATGGGAAGTAACAGTGAAGAACATAATTCTGAAACCGAGCCCGCTTCACATTTACAATTAGATTTAGGTGACGATTCTCCATATAACGTAAGAGAATCAAATAGGTTAGGGAATCAAAACGCTCCAATGTCAGGTAATTACATTTATTTTATGTTAGAAATAGATTATATGTAGAATAAGAATAATGAGTTTAAGTTATGTATAAAACCAATGTTTTAAAGTACCACATTTATTACAGTTCCTTTATCAAAAGTTGAAATTTCTACCGAAAGTTCAGCTAATACTCCTGTCCTTCTTCAGTCAAATTTCAAACGCATATTTCATTAATCATAATTAAAATGCATTTATTGTTGTAACTAAGTAACTACGTATTTATAAAAATTGATAATTTTTCAAATTTTATCATTTATATTGTAAAAAATATAGGTAGGTACCTACTTACTTAATAATACTTATCTGAGCTTTTACTATGTATGTACTATTGCTATCATGAGATATATTTGGAATATTTTCTTAAAAGGAAACAACACCTTGTACATTTAAAATTCCTTCTGATCCTTTATTTTTAGTCGGATGTTTGTGAAATTTTCAGGAAATAACAAAACTTAGGGTAGAGAAACCTTGACTTTTTTGGAAACCTTTGAAAAGTATTTATTTTTAAAAGAAATTAAAAAAACATTTACGTGCCATTCTATATTAAATCTATGAAAATTTGCTGCTTTTTCTTTTAATTATAATATTTTATTAATCCTTTTAGATTATATACATGATATAGGATAAGTCATTTACATGTACAAGATGTACAATAGTATACATTTACAAAACAGATATAAAATCTAACACATTTAAATATACAATTTAACAATAAATACACAAAATTAAAATTAGGACTGATGTTTGAAAACACCCATATGACAATGGCTGTACCTTGTACTACAAAAACTACATGAGAAATTCATGAATGCTATAGGGGCATTTTTGGGATAAATAGCTTTTTAATTTGCATATAAATGAGCTCAGACTATTAATCTGTTTTAGAGAGGTAGGTAGATGATTGAATAACCTTATTCCACAGTAGTATGAACTTTTTTCAAACATGGTTGAAACATGAGGGGGTACCTACGCCTAGTAAATTTCCACTATGAGTACTATAATTATGGTTGTCTGAATTACGAGTAAATTTGGAGATGTTTGTTTTAACGTATATAGCACATTTGAGAATATATATTGCTGGAAAAGTCAGTGTATTATATCTTTTAAAAAGATCTCTACAGGTACTTCTATCATCTAGGTTAAAAATTAATCTTATTATCCTTTTTTGACAAACAAAGACTCTCGATGTACATGTGCATTTCCTCTATGTAATATGTTATAATAATAATAATAATCTTTATTTTGAGGAATAATCATAATACATATAAGTAAGACAATTCTTAAACAAAACAGTGTGAAGGAAAATATATTAATAATCACATTAATATTCATTAATTGTATATGGTTCTAAATTAATTAACAATTCATGTACTTCCCTTTTAAATACTTGAACATTTGCTAATCTTTTTATTGCATCAGGCAGTTTATTGTACAACTTTACATAGCTGTACCCTGCTCCATGTTCTGTAGCTGTCAGCCTATGTATTGGATATACTAGGTTTATATTTCTCAGTATATAAGCATTTGTTGGTTCAAAATTTGAAAATAAACATCTATTTTTAAATACAAAAATTAAGCATTCCTGGATGTATATCCCTATCACAGTTAAGATTTTATTTTCTCTAAATTTACCTCTACACAATTCTCTCATATTTAAACTGAGCATAATCCGCATTATTCTTTTTTGCACTAAAAAACCCTTTCAATTGAATTGCTCCCACCATAGAATATTATCTCATATCTAATTCTGGATTCAAAATTTGCAAAGTATACCATTTTTAAACTATCCTATTCCAAATATTTCTTCACAAGTCTGATGCTGTAACAGCACTGAAAACTATCAATATATAGCCCCAGAAACTTGGTACTAGTTGAGACCTTAAATATACAGTTGTTAAGTTGAATATTTATTGGCATTTCATCTCTGTTGTAATTGGTTTTAAAAAGAAAGTACCACATTTGTTTTGCCCTCATTGAGTATTAATTTAATTATTTCAAACCATTTTTTTGCTTCAGTTATCTCTCCCTCTCTCTCTCTCTCTCTCTTTCTGCATTTAGGGTTAATTCCATCATATTAGATGCATTTATTAAGATATTTGTGTCATCTGAATAATTGGTTAGCACACAGTTCTCATTAGCAATCATAACACTGTTTAGTTCATTCACATAAATAATAAAAATCAATGGACCTACTGTACTTCCCTGAGGTATTCCTATATTAGACGTTATTTCTACAGATCTATCTTCCTCATTATTTTTATATATTTTGACAACCTGTTTCCTATACTTAAAATATGATTTGAACCACCCTAATGCAGGTCCCCTAATTCCATATTTCTCTAGCTTGTCCAGCACTATCCCATGGTCTAGACAATCGTAGGCTTTGGACAAGTCCAAGAATAGGCCCATAGCCAGCCTATCATTCTCCAGATCACCTAGAACATGCTGAACAAACTCGAAAATTGCCGTTTGAGTAGATTTCCCATGCTGGTAACTATGTTTTTACTTTCCTATCTGTATACAGATATAAGGAAATTATAGGAATCATGATTTTTTTCGACCTCGAGTTTTCGATGGATTTTTACGTTTTGAGGTCCCCTGAATCCGGTTTGACTATTTTCGCGATGATGTGTGTGTGTGCGTGCGGGCGGGCGTGCGTGCGTCTGTCTGTCTGTCTGTCTGTCTGTGTCTGTGTCTGTGTCTGTGTCTGTGTCTGTGTCTGTGTCTGTGTCTGTGTGTCTGTGTGTCTGTGTGTCTGTGTGTCTGTGTGTCTGTGTGTCTGTGTGTCTGTGTGTCTGTGTGTCTGTGTGTCTGTGTGTCTGTGTGTCTGTGTGTCTGTGTGTCTGTGTGTCTGTGTGTCTGTGTGTCTGTGTGTCTGTGTGTCTGTGTGTCTGTGTGTCTGTGTGTCTGTGTGTCTGTGTGTCTGTGTGTCTGTGTGTCTGTGTGTCTGTGTGTCTGTGTGTCTGTGTGTCTGTGTGTCTGTGTGTCTGTGTCTGTGTCTGTCTGTCTGTCTATCTGTCTGTCTGTCTGTCTGTCTGTCTGTCTGTCTGTCTGTCTGTCTGTCTGTCTGTCTGTCTGTCTGTCTGTCTGTCTGTATGTCTGTCTGTGTGTCGCATAACTCATGAACCGATACACAGAAAAACACCAAATTTCAAACTTAAGCTTTGTTCCAGCGTCCAATGTGCTGATTAGATTTTGGGCAGTGTCGGAACATCTGGGGGGGTACTTTATAGGTGGTCATTTTTATATTTTATGGAATATATCTGTTATTTACGTTTGGGGAAGAAAATTCTTCAAATAAAAGTTACTTCTTATATTATTATCTAAATTATTATTCTATACAAAATTTTCCTAAAATGGTCCGTATTCGAGAAATTTGACAAAATGTAAAAAAATATTTTTTTATAAAAATTGTTCAAACAAAAGTTGTTTGTAATATAATACTCTATAATATTTATCCTATACATAATTTCTCTAAAATGGACCGTATTCGAGATATTTGAGAAAATGTGTAAATTTTGAAATTTGAAGAAAACTCAAAAACGGATAAAGAAAAACACATTAAATTTTAAACTTAAGTTTTATTTCGGCCTGACGTGAAATGATTAGATTTTGGACAAAGTCGGAACATCTGGGGTGGTACTTTATAGGGGGCCGTTTTTATATTTTATGGAATATATCTGTTATTTATGTTTGGAGAAAAAAATTGTTCAAATAAAAGTTATTTCTAATATTATCTATAATTTTTGCTTTATGTCAAAATTTCCTGAAATGGTCCATTCGATAAATTTGACAAAATGTGCAAAATTCTGATTTTTATGAAAATTGTTGAAATAAAAGTTGTTTGCGATATCGATCTCTATAATTTTTGTTTATACACGATTTTTCTAAAATGGACCGTAATGGAAAAATTGTACGAAAATTGCTAAATTTAAATTTTACAGTATTTTCATTTTCAATGAATATCTATAGAAAAATGTTTCGAGGTAGATGTATGTGGAAAATGTATATATTTATTTTATCCTCTAAACATTTATGGAGGTGCTGCAATAGGTTGTACAAAATAACCGGAAAAAGCCTGTAATAACTAGATAGGAAAGTCATGTGTTGGACACATCAGATTTTTACTTAATAAGTTACAGGTCATAACATATTCTGATACCCTTTTACACATTGCTGCTTCAAAAATTTTAGAGAGAATATAAATATAATTGGTCTGTAGTTTTCCACCTTTTTTACGTCACCTTTTTTGAAAACAGGTACTATGCAGGCTATTTTTAATTGATCAGAAAACACCCCAAATCGAAAAGAGTTATTTATTATATACAGGGTATCCCGAAATTAGACGGTCATATTTTAACAGCATAATCTACATCCTAAAATAAGAATAAAAATTCATATAAACATAGGTCCGAAAACGTTTCGTTTTCGAGATACAAGGTGTTACAAGTGAAGTTTTGATGGCACATTTTTGTAAATATTTTCTAAAATTTCTTTAGTCACCGGTTTTCCAAAGTAAAAAAATATAAAAATTTCTGATTTCACAGGCCTACTAATTATTGTTTACACTTTCGAATACCTTATATGAAATTTTCAAATGCTTTTTTCTTGAAAATGGTGCGTCCTAGTGAGATGCAACAAAAGTAGCTTTATTATTAAGAAAACATTGGTTTTCCAAATTTTTTAGTCAAAAATGTTAAAAACTGTCAACAAAAAAAAAACTCAGGCAATTTTACTCTAAGCCCCCCTAATTTACCCATCTATGAAGATGACCAAAAACTGGCGTTTAGTCCATTAAATAGAGCGTGAAAAGGTAAGCATTTGTAACAAATTTCACTTAGTTATCTTGGAACGTTTTGAAAATATTTACAAAAGAGTGTCATCAGGACTTTTAACACCCTGTATCTCGGAAAAGAAACTTTTTCAGACCTATGTTTATATAAACTTTTACTCCTATTTTAGGATGTAGATTATGCTGTT